AACTCACTGACACCAAGTCCAACCGTTGTGAGAAGCCCAGTTGCACCTGGACTAAATTGTTTACCTTTGTTGTGTCCACCGGACACTGATGTCCCAGCAGGTGAAAGTCTGAGTGCTGAAGACCAGTGGAAAGATCAGAGGACGAAATTACGAAGGAACTTTGGGCGTTTACGTTCTGTAAGTCAACGGTTAGCCAAACCACTTGAGGCTGGTAGTATACTTCGCCCTGCAAGGCCAACCTCGTCCGACCAGAGGCGTTATAATCTCGTGATCTTTCACGCACCGGAGTCCAGTGATCCATCACCCCAAGTGCGCTACGATCACGATGTCGAGTTTTTACAGGGTCTAATTGATAGACTCGTCGACGTTGGTGAGGACTCAGTAAAAGTGAGACAGATTACCCGTCTTGGAAAGCAAGGTGATCAACAAAATCGGCCTATGAGAATCACTTTTGTGGACGAAGCCAGTCCAAGACTTATCATGTCTCGCCTAAGTAGGCTGAAAGGTTTGAAGATCCATGTTCGTCCCGACCTGGACCCAGTAGACAGGGAGCGGCTCAAGTCTGCCATCATATATATATATATATATATATATATATATATATATATATATATATATAGGCTTGTGAGTTGCAGACACGGAAGCGTTGCGCCGTAGTGGAATGTATGCAGTGGACTGCATACTTTTGCTGTGACACCTGAGGTGGATCGGTCATGTGAGTCGTATGGATTCAACGCGGATACCGAAGCAACTTATATGGTCAGCTGAGTATAGGGAAGCGGCACGTGGGGAAACCAAAGTTACGTTACCAGGACATGATCAAAGTGAGCCTCTCACGTTCTGCTCTTGATTGCAGATCATGGGAATCGAATGCGGTTGATCGGCGTGCATGGCGCGATCTGATTGCGAAGGCAGTTGCCGAGGTGCAGAAAACTTTTATGCATGTAGAGAAGAAGCGGCAAGTGCAGAAGCGGCAAGCACGGGTGGGTTGTTCTCCATTGGCATCAAGCGCATGGTGCTGTAGCACATGCGGTCGCGAGTGCCTGAGTCAGGCAGGCCTAGTGAGCCATGAGCGAGGCCACTCGGGACCACTGCCGAAGCGACGACGGGTCCTGCAGAGAACGTAGGCAGAACCGGCGCAGCGTTTGTAGGTACGCTGCATCCAATTTACTAACAGCGTGCTTTCATGCTGTCTCTTTATTTCAGGTGGTGGGTTTTCGATTTTGTCCTAATGCTTTTCTTTCCCATATAAATGCCTACTTATACTCGCTTCTATACACTTGCACACGTCGCTTAAGCCACTTGTAGTTATTCCGATAACATTTTCGTGTTTGTAGCATTTCCGTAAAATAAACTTCCTTACCTCGTGAACTTACCTCGTATTCGTTTGTAAAAAACTTATTTCATATGCTCATTAACCTAAGGTTTATGTCACCGTTTCCTTATGCATTAATCTCGTTATTTTCTTTGTCTCTCTCTCTGTCTCAAGTGATTGGCTGTTGTTTGATATCCCCGGTGTGGCTGCGCTTGATGTGCATGTTTACAACGTGCCTACCTGTCTATTACCCACTACCTCGTCCATACTGGCTGTAGGAGACAGTTGGTCGCTGCTGGAGGGGACGGGATGCACGGTCCTTGTGGCCGTGTTAGGCTCGACGAGTGGTTCCATGCACTCAGTGTGGAGCGGACTACGGTCTAACCACCGCTTTGTGTGCGATTGATTCCCAACTACAGCGTGCTTGTGTTTGCTTGCGAAGGAGTGTGGGCCGGCTCCGTTGATGAAACGTTGCTCCCATCCACATGCCTCCCGGTCTTATTCCTTCGGGTTTACACTGGATATGGGGTGTGTGGTTGGAACTGTGGGTGGTGCAGCGCAAGCCACCCATGGTCCCTCTGTAGGCGCAGGCGTCCTGTGGCTGGCCACAGTGACAGGCAAATCCGAAACCGGGCGCCGCCAACCATATAGGCTTGTATTGATGTGCCAGCGCTGCCTCTAGCAACACACAATTCTTGTCACGTAGAAATATGGCGGGATCGTCAATAGTACTATGAAGTGACCTCTACTCTGGAGTCTTTGATTAGATCACAATGACAAAATAATTATTTATGAGTTAAGTAAATAAGCAGGGGAGACAAAGAGTGGTATTTTGCGAGTTCATTTGTGATAGAAAAGTGTCTGGGTCGTTCTGGGCAGTAAATCAAAAATTTACACTCAGTTGAAATATAGCATACGATTACCATCTAGAGGCAGTTAAACAGGAGTGTCACGGTAAGCCAATAACAAAAACATTTTTTTACAAAATCTAAGTAACGGAGTGCTGACAACTCTGAAGCATTTAACCGTGATGCTTGCTCACGATTGTTAAAGCAGTGCGCCAAGTTTCATTATTTTGCAATCATTAAGCAATTTACCATACTCTACATTTCGCTGAGTGTCAGCGCTAGTAATCTACCTATATATTCCTAAGCCAACCCTTGAATTTTGGATGGAATTATGACGCCGCTTAATGCATTAGACATAAAGTATGAGGCGTTGCATGTGGTTACAAACCTTGCAAGATCCATTTTTATCTTGATTGTCAGGTTTTCCTACCTAACTATGCATGGCGTTGATCTAGGAGAACAAAAATGGCCTGAGTATCGGTGGATCAGCACGTAATAATTGCGACGACGCTTTATCCAACATGTGGTTTGGAAAAGTGTGTTTGTCGTCTGTACACGCTAGCCCTGATCTTCTTCCGTCATAGTGAAAAACTGGACAGTACATATTGTTTGCTTGCCGTATCAAAAGATTCTACTCGATAAGAATATCACTTGTGTCGTGCTTAAAAACAACAGGCAGCATGCTTCCATAGAAAATAGTAAGTTTATGCAGCAAATCATGAATAATTCGCGTTATGGTCGTACGAAGTGGATCGAGTAAGATGAGTTATCACAGACTCTTAAATGGTGTGGCGTTGTATGGACAGAACACACGATACTGGCCAAGTAGTGTGTATTGGCGAAGTGAACGCAAAACCGGACAATGCAAATGCCAATAGCGCAAAACTACTCTATGTGATTGTCGAAACGCGTGTGATTTTATAAGAAGCTGGTTTTTCACAATTGTTGCACATTGTGTGAGCCAGGCGACAAGAACAATGCTCTGTTACACAAAACAAAGACAAGATCCGTGGGTTTTGATGAAAACATGTCAACGCTGTGTATACCAACCTGTAGTAATTTGTACACTCGAATCGAAACATGCAGTTGGTTTGCTTTGTGTTACACCGCAACAAGTTGGAACACAGTTCCGTGGCGCCATCTGGCTTCGGTCTCCCAAACCCTGGATTTTACTCGGGTTAAGTTGGTTTAAACGCTAACAATTAGAGTAATCATCCTTACGCGACCGAAAAGAATTTGGACAGTTTTTACGGTTTCATGTAGCGATGCTAGTTCACAGCTTGAAGCGTCGAAGCTGACATGGGAAAAGGGATAATAGAGGTCGTAACTAACATCCCAATGATCTAGGGTTAAGGACCGGCTGCTCTATCTGATGAGAGCAGATAAGCTAGAAACGCGTCGTCGTGTGCAGTGGTTTTCCGGTGGACAACATCTTATTTCCATTCGCTTCAGCTACGATAATAGTGATCGAATTCACCAAAGACCACTTCAATGAGAATCACGGCCAACAGTGAGACTGCGCGTCGCAATCCACACACACACACACACACACACAAGCAATCATTCAAAAAGACCCACCAATCTGTTGTCTCCCTCTTCATTCGGACGGTAGATCATTGTTTTTTGATACTCCTCCTCTCGTGGGTTGTCCGCAGACTCGTGTTGTGCCGACACAACAGACTGAAAAGGGGTAGTCGACCATGCAATTTTGATGACTTGAATGACTGTTTCAATCTATCCTTTAGCCGGATCATTTGGCGGTCCACTTAAACGAAAGCCGTAGTAACGCAGACTGTCAGGGAATCACTTGAAGTCCCAGCTACACAAGCCCTGCGAAGCCTTCAATAATATATACTAAGCGCCAACATAAACTGGGGGCTGAATTTTTAGGCCGTGATGCCACTATGGCAATGTAAAAGAGTACTCCCGCAACGGCCTAGGAGAAGTCCGATGTGAACGTCGGGGAAAATTTTCCATGAAATTCAGCTTGGAAAGTTGGAGAAAGAATCGCAGCGGGATGATATATAAAGGCGAAATAGCGATGAGATCATAAATTGCTACTCGCACAGGCACCGATGACGAATGGACAAAGCAAACAAGTGGCGTGTTGCAAGGGCGTCGGATAACATTTGACTGTCTTCGGTTGCGATGGATCCAGTTCGGCACTTTGTACCGAGGTCTTCGTGACCACCAACATCTGCGCACGGACTATAGGAACTGTGAGACTGGCCGCATATGCGCAGGCTCAACCCGGTGACTAATGGACTACAAGTCGGACGGTCGAAACCCCTCGGCCAACACTCGATCGAAATGAGGTGTTGGCGTATTGGAGAGAGTAACCCGCGCTTTTAATTCATGCCGCATATGAAGTATCGCACTGAAGGTCATAAAGTAACCGGTGATGTTGAAATACCACCCGAGGAGAATTCGATGGGGGCAACAGAGTTCCGTTGAACAGAAGCAAACGAGAAAAGCGGTCGGTCTATGTATCGGTCAAGTAGTGAATGAGACGTGAACACAATGAAGTGCACAATGGTATTCAAACGATAGTAGTCAGTTTCAATACGTATGAGCTGGCCAAATCGACAGCATTCCTGTTCTGTTAAACAAATCCACGCAGAACTAATAAAATGGAACTAAACGGTTGTGACCATCTGAGGGAGATAAACGAAAACGCAAGGATGGAGAATGAGCCACAAAACAGGAGAGCCCATAGAATGACAACAAAAACGACCGCATTGCTGAGTGAACTGGCATGAACTGTTGACAGGGAACAATACATCAAAGCGAAGTAGTGGCCGAACAGGTGAGAATGTCACAAGCAACAATGGACTTACGTGTGTGAGGGTTTGTACAAAGGGATAGTGGAATCTGTGAGTCTTTATTTGGCAGAGACCATTGGATCATCCAAAACGGGAATTGCACCTGATGGGGAGTGACATGCGTTGGCCAGCAGGGTCGCGTTCAGCATTTGTATGAGCGTGTCTGTGTCGGTTTCGCCAAAGAAACGCAGCCGAACTGGCTTTGGATTGATAGAGACTAAGCAGAATGGACACCGAGCCTTCAGATCGAAGCTATGCACCGTTGGCAGTCGGACGGAACACCAAAAACTGTGGGAGAGTGGGAGAAGTTAATGGCTTATTTCGCGGTAACCAAAAGTGTGGTAAGATTGACAGTTGCTGCACACCTGTACAATCTTAGTTAATCTTAAAGAGAGTCTTATGCGATGTAGACTGACATTTGATTAGGATCCGAAGCAAAACGTGTGGTAAGGCGGTGTTGTGATGGTGTTAAGTATACGCTTATGTTGAAGAAGCGAACGCAGTGAGTGACATTTGGAAAGCATAATCATATGCATACTGAAAAAAGAATGCTATCTATTAGGTAAACACATCTATACAATAGTGATGAAAGATACAAGCGAGGTTCACACAAATGAGTCACGTGAAACACGAGTTGGCGATGACATTTCTGCATAAGTCAAGAAGAGCACTGTTGAATATGTTACCAAGCAATAAGAGATAGCTCTATAGGAAGCGTAGCCGAGGATATGGAGTTCTAGCTGCAGCTGTTTAAAAAAATGTACGCGATTCACACGCAGCCTGATTAAGGCTCGGATGGGAAATTGGCTAGTCAACTGAAACGGAGAATGGTACACCGGTATTTTCGGAGAGTAGATGAAAAGTCAGAGTAGACAAAGCGTTCGGATGGCGAAAAATACGGAGAAAGTAAAGTAAAACTTACCGAACAGTTGCCTCGGACGCCATGTGTCCGCATGGGTTAAAACAGTGCGTGGCAAAGGAGCGGTCTATGTAGAACGCGGACTCGAGTCCCATCCGAAGAGGGACAAAGGGGGAAGGCTGTAAACATAGGGGGCATGTTCGGGCTTGCGAATTCCTACGCAAAATAGAAGGGGGACGAATGGGCAGAAAGCTATTAAGGTGCTGAGTCTTTCAGTATATCAGTAATAAAGAATTCGGTAGAGAGAGCTAGACACAAATTATTGTAGTTTCGCGTTGAGAACAAATAAAAAGGGAAAGGCGAGGAGCAAGCCAGTAAAAAAAGAACTCATTTTATTTCTCAACAGTATAGGAGACCGTTGCCGCGTAGGGATAGATTAATATACATTCATTTATGGCCCTGATAGGTATGTAAGCTAGGGTACAGATGATGCAGAAGCTGAACTGTTAACAAAAATAGCAAATTTTAATGAGTAAACATATCAATTCTTTACAATGTAAGCGCGTATCTTCCAAGATAGGATCGGAGCAATATCATTGTTGTTTTCATTCGACAATCATGTTGGTAGTGATGCATGCTAAACAGTAGCCGAATTATACGTCAGGGTTGCAGTTGTATCAAATGGTCATTGTGATCAAGAGTGGAGATTGTTGAGGATTCTGAAAGTTCGTCATATCTATGGAAATGATTTCACGTATGCAGGTGTTTGAGCACCTCTTGTTGTCGTCTTTCCCGATTGCACAGTTTGATTATGAGATCATGAAAACGAACTCGTGGCGTCTAGGTCAACGAGAATGAAAGATGGCGTGTACACAGGCGAGATGCCAATGAGCGCCGCGAGTATCGCACTTGCTTTAGCTCGTCATGCATGCACTCTCTGAGGCCCGTGTTTGCATTTTAGCAGTACGTACCACTTTGACGTAATCTGCAGTGCGTCAAATTGACGCTGGACGGCAGGACAATGGTTTGTTGATGGACAAATGGGTGCTCTGCTGTTGTACAGAACAGTGAACGAGGAAAAAGAACCAAGCGACAAATTTAATTAAACGGTGAGTGGTGCACGCGTCAAGTAAAACAGCAGAAATTATTCGTCGATGTGAATATACCGTTTATGACTCAGTTCGTCAGATGTAGTTCACATAAAGCACAAAGGTAAACACCGTCATTTAGGATGGTCCGAAGACGCTGATGTAATTCGAACTCTATGCACCGGTTAGATTTTACAAAATGATGTAAAGTAAAAATGAACCTCGCTGATTACTGAACAAATGACACAATGGTGTGGGTTAGAAGGAAATTCTAATTTGGGCCAGGGATCAGTGCGATGTGTCCATCTTTGTGGAATTCCTAGTCAAAAGAGCGGTCAACATGAAGTTTTCCGGAGAGTCCGAGATCTTTGGATTTCCAGGCAATTTCGGTTGTAAACGATCCGTCCAACGCAAGCCTCCAATCCTAATCAAAATCAGAAGGGAGCGACGACGAAAAGCGTGTTGAATAACAGCCAAAAATAATAGTACAACTAGCCTGAAAAGTGATTATTTTTTTAGCTCGGCGAAGAAACAGGGATTTAAAATCGATCGAGAAATCTGCGGGTAGGCGAATGCCTCAATTGATGGGTTTGAATTGTCTGCGAATAAAATGGATGCTTTTATTTGTTATAACTCTGGTCCATTTCATCGCTAAAGTAATGGACCTTCCAAGGAAGATTTCACTTTCTACCAAACGGGAAGAAATGATGACAAAATCGTAGGTAAGATGATGACAAAACAGTAGGTAAAATGAGCAGCTGGTTCGTAATTCAGCGCTGTGACACATACGTAAACGAGGCCTCGTCACGAATAAGCAGTAATGGGAATTCCGCTGCAGTAAAGCCATAAAACAAGACGGAGCAGTCAAATCCATTTCAATGAAGGGTATGGGTGAATTATTTTCTCGTTTTGCATGGGTGACTACCGGAAGGAACGATAGACCAACAGACAAGTGCAGAATACAATTCACACGATAACCAAACCCGGGGTGGGCAGTAAATTGGGAAAACGCACAAAGTACATTGGACACGTAAAAGGAAAGGAAGATTCCGCTGAGCTGTAGGTTACGATGAAGTAGGACTGGCACAATAGAAAGAACAAACGTGACGTCACAGAAATTCAAAGACGGACTTAGAATTACAAAGGAGTAGTAGGGAGATTTGGATGGTATTAATGGACTCAGTTAGACAGCAGTGCGCAACCCCAGTGGGGATCGAGCCCGCAACTCGACTGTTTCCAGTTGGTGGTTGAGGTCAATGGGCTACGGTGCTATAGCATATCTAGCTACTGAGTGATAACGATCGTTACCGTATCCCGTAGCTAAGCGGTCTTAAGTAGACTGGCAACGGTCAAGATGCGGGTTTCGAGCCCCACAGGGTCACATTAATAGCTCAATACTGACGATTCCCGGGAGGATGAAACGACCGTTCAGTGCTTTTCCAGGCGTGTGCTGGCTTTCTGACTGTTTATATGTGATGAACTTCAAGTTGGAATTGTAATAATGATAGAATGGTAGTACACTTTCATCCGGAAAGCAATAATGGGCACAGGCGGTTAACTAACCACAATTTGGTTAAAATCGATAGATGAAGAGGACTTCCGGTCGTTATGAGAGCAGTAGGATGGCAGTTTCGATGCATAAGACAAAAGCCGGTACTAGGGGGAACTATGGTAATCGTGGATTAAACCATAAACTCTGCAAGTAGGGGATTACCGATATAGTCGTGACCTGGGAGTTACGTAAGTGCCGTCGTTCCATTAATAGTTTGTAAGCAAGCTCCGTCTGTACATTGTTTTCTTTCAATGGAGGTGCATCGGCAGCAAAAGCATTCAGGAATGCACATGCTACATACCATATTGTATGATTTAGCACACCGTTCCGTTAATAATCGTGGAACCACTTCGAACTTAGGCTACGGGGTAGTCAAGCTCAAATCGGATCACGTCGAGTGGGTCGATTCATTTTCGTTTACTGAAAGAGGATCCAGATAATCCCGTACCCCGCATGGCAAACTATGTGGGTAAGTGGTTCTAACACGTATTAATAGACACTCGCGATTGGTTATTCGACATGGAATACCAACCGCGCCAAAATAACCAAAACGATTGCAAGGAAAACACAACCAGATGAGTGAACTGCTGTGTAACAGGTTGTTAGTCAAATGTAACTGAACATTAAGCATGATTCAATTCACCAATAAAAGTCCGAGTAAACTAAAACACCTGAGCTAAAGGTAAGTCTTAGTCATGTCAGTGGCAAAACTATTCGTTTTTGCACCGCCTATTCGACGTGCATAGAAGGGAACGTCGTCATCTGGGTCAGCGCAAATTGTATGCGCACGGATCGATCGTGCTTTGTAACTCCGGTTGGTGGTCAAACACTGCAACAGAGGCATGTGCGCGATAAGTGAAATGCGCTTCTGGTATTGTGATCAGGCCAGCTTAATAGGGCGTTCACAAAATCGGTTAACATGCAGTTCGTTCTGGGAGATTGCAACTCGCTTATCGGAGTATTAACAAAACACTCGAAGTGAAGCGTACATTCCGGAGATGATTTGCGGGTAGAACGCAGCTTGAAAGGTGGAAAGTTCGACGAACCCTTGGAAAAGCCACGCCCATGTCAATTAGTGAGGACAAAGGTAGTCATTGTTCAACGCAGTGAAGCACGGTCACAAGAAATGGAAATCATCTCAGTTCGCAAACTCGTTCACCCAGTGAAAACGAAGTAACCACGGTGTGAAACCGGATGAGGACCTGAATTGAAACAACTGCATCTCGTGATGCGCTTCGAAACGGAGTAAACGGCTGATGGGCATGGAATCGCGGGGCTCTGTTCATCTCAGTTAAGCAACTATGACCTGAGCACAATGGCGTAGTGGACAAGGCTGAAAAAAATCGGATCAATGTGATAACAGAGCGTAACAGCGATGAAAAACAAGGGACAGGAAGGCGATATGAAAGAATTAGGAAACGCGGTAGACTGATGCAGTGGATGGAGTAGCAAAAGAAAGAAAGCTAAGGACAGACAGTAAGACTGCAACTAACCCCTGAACTGTGTCATGACGTACAAGGTCTCTGATGAGGGAGCACTTTGGAATCCTATTCATATGGATGCAAGAGTTAAAAAGAAGAACAAGTAGGAATAGGATATGGTCAGCTTCGTGAAAAAGAGGACACGAACAGCGCGGGCGATTCAAACTAGACTGCCGGTCTAGTGAGACACCTCTCTTGTGCTAAATGACAACAAATGGAAGATGGTGCAATGCACAGGAAGGCAGTGTCAAACAGGTAACATTTAGCAGGCCCCAGTTGTCAGAGGTAAGTAATATCTTAAAGCAGTACAATGCCCAGGTGTCATGTCACTGGTCCCAAAAACATCACCAATCGCACCAGGTCATTGTGCACTCTGTCTTTATGGTGGCTAACGGGATAAGTTGTAGCTATGTGGGAAAACCTCGGATGGCCGCTGTTATTACGCGTGTGAGGCCACCATGTCTCATGCACTGGACTCAAGCGAAGGGGTTGTCAGCCGGGGACAAGAGAGGAGGCATCTGTAGTACGGCGGTAGGTCGCATTGACGCGTTCGCCACCAGAAACGAAGCAGCTAAGGATACTGCCAGGACACTCGCACCTATACAGCTTCGAACCGGTAACCTCTGAGTTGCATGGCAAGCGCCTCGTCCGTTCGGCCACCGGCTGCCATGGGCAATACATCAATGGCGTGCTTGTGAACACCAATCACCTTGGAGGGATGAGCTAATTCGTGAGGCAGCTCTCGCTGCACACAGCCGGCCCGTAGGTAACAAGCTCGTCATGTAATCTAGCGACGCGGGTTCGAGCCTGCGTACGGGCAGGGCGGCTCTCGCAGTATCTCAGCCCACGTGCGACCGGTGGTAATTGCGCGGCAGTGAAGCGTCGGTACTGCGTAAAGACATACTGTTGATGTCTTCTGTCATTGTTACACTGCACACAACTGTGTAGTGATTGCACGCATAGATAGCGAGGTGAAAAACATGACGACGATAATTCGAAAGCTAAGCTTGGACCCTACAATGACTGGAGTAAGAGGGTGTACAACTGTCAGCCGTCATGAGGAAAGGATTCAGTGTGCTTCCCACAAAAACTGCAGTGATGGGGAAGTATCGATATCTCGGCAGTTGGCCGCAACGGTAGCAGATAATAACATTTATAGCAATAATAGTAACAACAGCATGTAAATTCCTCGGGTGCGCGACTGTTCACTTAGTGGAGATAGACCACCACCAAGCAGCACAGGACACCGGTACAAGCTGATCGTACCGGATTTGAAGCGGGTCGCTCACCAACTCTGCTTCGAGCGGAGGGTGGTGAATATATGGAACAACCTGCATGCAGACATAGTCGAAGCAAAGTCGGTGAAAAAGTTCAAGAAACGCTTGGACTCGCACTTTGCCGACTTGAGATTTCGAGAATACGCACCATAATAATAGTTACCGTATATTACTGTATATAAGGCGACAATGACTTTGCAACGTCAAATGTGTCCAAAATTGCAAGTTCGTATCCTAGCCGACTCCAAAAAAATCAGCAAAAAGTGAAACGAAATTGTTCCACACGACTTTGACTTCATCACTACCTGCTCACATTTGAGTGCGCTCAAGCGAAAGCTGCTCTACCATTAGTCAGTTCTTGGGACCTAATATCTTATGATCGCAGTTAATGGTGCTTAGAGCCGTCAAAACAAAGATTTTAACCGCATTGGACAGTATATTGCTTAGATGTCGGCACACGAAACAGGTAAGACAGCCGACAATATGGGGCAAGGTGGAAGGGTATGTCAGACACCGCCTCGCGTAGTCGGGGATCTCATGCATCTGAATCGCGGTGGAGCAGCGGGTGAGAGGGAAGTTAACCATCAGTGGTGTGGGACGATGTACTTTTAACGCACCAGATTGACTAGCACAGCACAATGTATAAGCGCTGCAATTAGCTAACCAAAATAGCGCTAATGCGAGGTCACATCATCCAGCTGAGAAAGAAGGTGCCCACATTTCGTGCGATCTTCCAAAGCCGTGGAAACGTGAAAAAATTGTCTGGACAGGAGCGATATGCATATGCTGCTGGCTTTAAATTGAAAGTTTTATCGCGTTTGCTGAGCAATCTAATAACTATATGGCTGCACGTCATTTCACTGCGAATAAAAAGCACGTGAGGGAATGGGGAAAGGAAAAGTTGAAATTGTCACTAATGTCTGCAGAAAAACCATGTTTCCTGCACTGGAGGAAAAGTTAGCGCAGTGGGTTATGGAGTCACTGCACAACGGGTTGATTGTTACTCGAACGAACATTCAGATCAGGGGGCTCACAATGTTAACATGTCCGGAATTCCAGCCATCAAAACCGGTGGATTTTGTTGCTTCCTCCTGATGGTGCAATTGTTTTATGAACCGATTCGACGTGTCTATGGACCCGCACAAAACTAGCCCAGAAACTGCCGAAGGAACTGAGCAGTAAAGTTAAATCTTTTCAAAGATTTGTGATTCAGCTGAGAAAGCAATACGACTTTGAACCGTCCCAAAGTGGAAATATGGGCGAGACGCCCGTGTGATTTGATACGCCCTCAAATTGCATGGTGGAGCAGAAAGGTGCTAACACAGTTTTTGTAATGGTGACGACGGTGTATGGCGGATGGTTCCCGTCTACCATCTTTCATTATTTTAAGCGTAAGACACTGCCTAAAGGAACGAAGTTCTCAGGCGGGGTGTTCGCGCGGGCTCATGCGAAAGGATGGGTGGACGAGAGTGGCACCATAGACAGGTTGAATCCAGGTTGGGGAAAGCAAGCGGTGCGTTTGTAAAAAAACATCTATGCTGGTTTGAGATTCCTTTAGGGCACAGTGAACTAAGAACGTGGAGAAACGATGCCGTGAACGGAAGTCGTCCGTGGCTTTAATTCCCGGTGGACTTATATCAATCTTGCAGCCACTGGATGCCTCTCTTAATAGGGTCTTTAAAGATAGGCTTCGGGCCAGGTGGATTGAATGAATGGCATCGAGTGATTTAGCGTTGACGAAGGGTGGCAATGTGAAAAAGGTTGACACTGTTACGATTGCAGTGGGTGAAAGAAGCGTGGCTGGATATTCTATCAGAAATTATCGTACGATCATCCAAAATGTGCTACATCAGTAATGCTATGGATGGAAGTGAGGATGATGCCATTTTTGGAGGAATACAACAGTGAGGAGAGCAGTGAAGTTGAAGATGACGATATTCACACTGACGTCCCAATGACAGACGACTAGTACTAGAAACTGTTTGGAGATACTGACTCGGATTCCAGTTTCGAATGATTGCAGTAATTGCCATACCAATGTGCAGCGTTTGGAAATGTGAGCCTAGAAAATCTACCGGCACGCGCTGTTCTGTCATGTTATTTTCCAATGTTATTGTGTGTAATGGTGTTCGGTTCTATATACTCAGTATGTTTCTGTTACTCGAATCCGTCGCGAAAGTCAAATGTGCAATATACTTACAAATTTCGTCACAAACATAACGTGTCTACTTATAGGCACTTCAAATCCCCGCCTGGGATATCGTCTGTCATTAGCGAGTGGTGCTAAGGCAAAATATGGGCATAGGTGTGCAATGAATTTGTGGGTGGGTTTTGCATGTGATTTTTTCAAATTGCGCATAACCTTTGTATAAGCCGCCTCACCCTACTACAGACATGGAAAATTGTCCAAAATTCCTCGGCTTATACATGGTAATATATGTTATATTTGCTTAAAAAATATTACATGTAGCTACAAAGTGGCAGCTCTACTCCCTGCATTTTCTCAGTATTCAGTCATTGAGACATGCGTCCGTGTTGCTGGCCAGATATAGTGCAACATTAACATGTACGGAGTGAAGCATAGGTGGCACAGTACGGTCGAGCGACATTGCAAACGCGTAAAACTGATACCTAAATGACGAATGGTTCAGCAGTGGCTCTCGCTTATAGGCATCAGCAGTATGTCAACACTGCGTGTCAATGCTTCGCTGCCGCGCAACCGCCATCAGCCGTGCGTGGGCTGAGGGTACAGCGAGAGTCGCCCGGTCTTCTATGCAGGCTCGAACCCGCGCTCTCAGATCACAAAGCAGGCTTATGATACATAAGGCCACGGGCCGGCCTCTCGCTTATAGCCTACTCTCGTTAGCGTGAGACCCGTAGGTGCCACCCTGTTAGAAGCGTTAGCCACTAAATTGCCTCAAGAGTGAATAATTACATGTCATCAGCTCGAAAACACTGCACACAATGACCGGTTTCGAATTTGTTTGAGCCCATCATGAGTAGAACAAAAATCCCAAATGCTGGTGAAAACGTAAAACGGAGTAAACTTGGCAAAGCAATCATGCAGAATGCCGATCAAAAGCCCATTGACAGGAACACGGGAACCCGTAGTCGACTTGCAAAGTTGGACACAGGAACCAGTACTGGAGGTTGGGAACCCGGTCCTTCAGTGTACCCACATACGTGTGAATGAAGACAGGTAACGACGACTCACATGTCCCCCGAGGCTGTCCATGTGTGCCAACCGTGTACATGGCCACAACTAAGGTAGACATATGGCTCGGATTTTGTGTCGTATAGGGAAGTATCAAGCCAATCACCCAATTTGACCAATCCAGGTTGAATAGGGAACAGCTGGGGATCCGGGGCCGGTAGCCGAAGAGTGCGATATAGCACAGGACATTGGAAACGGGCGAGATTGAGTCCGTCGACCTGCGAGGACAGACATCATCATAAGGGGGATTCAAGTAGTGAATCAGCCGATTGCGGAAAACAAATTGTTAAATCAAAGGCACGTACGGTAGACAATGTAAAGCGATAAAGAGGTCAACAAGACGAAAAGGAGAAAAATACACTGTGGCGGAATCAAACGCAAAGTTAACAGGCAAAATAGATAGCAACGTAATCAACGGACTCGATCTGTGAGCGGAGTGGGAGCAAGCGAAGTGTCTGGGCAGATGTACACGCTACGACTGCAATAAGTAAGCAAGTAAGTAAGTAGGTAAGTAAGTAAGTAAAGTAAGTAAGTAAGTATATAAGCAAGTAAGTAAGTAAGTATATAAGTAAGTTATATAAGTAAGCAGGTTAAGTAAGTAGGTAAGTAAGTAAGCAAGTAAGTAAGAGAGCTTTAGAGCAGATAAACAGCTAGGGCACAGAAGTGCGGTAAAATGAAAAACTAGTCGATTGCTGCTGTTGAGAGTACGGACGCCAATACGCCATTCCTAGAGGAATGAGACCGGATAACATCGGCAAAGGCACAGAGTGCAGAGACGTAAATTAGTCTTGCCAAACATCAGATGGTTCTGAAAAACCCTTTAGCGGAACGTCACATAAGTATGAAGAGTAGGCGGGGGGAAAGGAATACAGGCGACAGAAACAATACACCAACTCGCTGCTATCCGACATTTATAAAATTACACTGAGGAGCGAAAAGAGTACTCGATATTTTAAAGGTTCGTCGGTTCGGCTAGACCTATCAATCGTGATCCGTAGGTCGAAGCGCGATGAAGTAAGTTGCTAGAACTCACATTGTCAGCGTACACAAACCTTGGGATAAAGAAGCAAAGCAACGCAATAAGAGCAAAAGAGATAAATGAAGGCCGTGCATGCCTGTAGCTTTAGGTATCACAGCCTGCCTTGCAATCTGAGGGCGCTGGTTCGAGCCTGCGTAGGGACCGGAAGACCGTCGCACTATCTTTAATCCACGTGCGACTGTTGGTGGTTGAGCCGTAGCGTGCTGGCGTACTTCTGATGCCTTTGCTTTAATGAAGAGCGTAAATCGTCAGAATAGATTGAATCTCTGAGCTGGAAGAAAGCCGTATAAGGCTAACACAGCAAACCTAGCACTCCAAACCACGAGGATGACGTGCACCAACGTGATGTACTCCATCTGTCATTCTCTTTAAGCCGCTCTGTAACGTCGTCACAGAGGGGTATTGTCAAACGCGGCACAAATTCCGAACCCAATAGATTCAGAAGAAAGCAGCCCAGCAAACTTAAAGGATACAGCCACAGCGATGAAGCCGGCACTTCGCCACAGGGCGCTGCGCCAAACACCCACTGGTGTGCTTTGGTAGCGCTTACGCGGTGGCCCCATCAGAAATGATAAATGTCTCACAGACCCCGATGTCCAAAGATCCCGGTGGCTTAACATCTTGAAGGTGAAATCACTACAGGCCCATTTCATGGATTTTAATGGAGGTAGAGCGGCACTGAACACCCTGCCTTCGATTGACGATTCGATGGTTAGTACTTTGAAAAGCTAGATAAGAACTTCCAGCAGCTTAGGCTATAGTTCGACAAGTCGACCTTTAGGTGCAGAAACTAATTAATCAAAAAAGGTTGCGATTCGCTAAACATGAAGGCTAGAGGGGAGATAGGCGCGATCGTAAAGCAGAACGTTAAAATGTGAAGGCTGGAGAAACGTTCAGGAGAAACCAACATCTCACATTAAGTCACTCGGAAGGGTTTTCGTAGCTGTGCTCAGTCTATGGGAAAAGCAGAGCCCAATTTTTAGAAGTACGTCAGTGAGGACAATGGGGAGAGTTGACAGAATAAGCCCTATTGGTTTCAGTGTGGAATCGAGCCCACAGCTATTTGCAGGACGGACAGCAGTGATTGACACATAGGCGGCGGGGGGCGGTGGCGACCGACGTGACAGAACTTATTGTGCCATAACTCGTTTCAGTGAGTCAATACCACGAAGGACAGAGTTGAGTCCTGTGGGGCATCAAGTTACGCAACAAACACCTAACTTACGGCCAGATAATCTACCCTGGACGAGTATAGATTCAAAAACTGAGGGTGAATGGTTCATCCATCAGCTTCACGGGACGGCGGAGGGTATGGAGGAGAACCTTGCAACATGGTGGTACATCGTAACCTAAAGTGACTGATCAGAAAAGACACTTGAGACTTAGAAGTTGATGCGGAGTTAGAAGTTGAGCACCGCCTATGTCGTAACAGGTAAAATCCGTTTATATACCATTCCAGATGATATCAACGCAATGATGACTGCAGATAATAACTAGTCCGTTTCGAACCTAGTGTACAGGAGACCAAACAATATGCTGCATCTGATTATACGCTTTGGTGATGTTTAGGTGATATACCGGTGCATTTACACCGGATGAGTGACGATATTCGGACAATCGACGTAGACCACAAACAAGGACAATAAAACCCCATTAGGATGAGACTCAACCAACCTAAAAGGGAAATAACTTTCATGGAGCACAGTCAAGAGGTGGCACAGCAGGATTCCGAAAATGATTGAGAGATCACTTCACTATATGTGCCACGAGATCTAGAACGCCTAGATCAGGTGGTTACTGGTCCAAGACCGGAGAAGGGCTTCAAAGAGCCCACAGGATGTCAAAATGAAGCAGAGGTTATGAACTGGAATTCCAACGCGCTTCAGCGACCAAATATTGACGTAAAGAGGCTATTTACGGAGATGTTGATTGCTGCAGACAAAAAGAGCTATATCCGTAATCATCTATCCCTGAAATACAAAACTTTGGTGAAGCTAGCAACTGAATTCACATTCTATAAATAGAGTTTGAAGTTAACAATGAAAGCCAGAGTTAAAAACTTTCAATGATTGCAGATGCAACGCATGTAGTGAAGAAAGATGTGCATTTTGTAAACAGCTGATGTGTGATACAGAGCGGAGCTGCTAGCGACTCATAGGGAAACACCTGGGCCAGACATACGCGCAGCGACGGCCGGGCCCACTAGTCAGTTCCATGATGGAACAACTTTGTTACGAAGACTGTGCATCCCATCACACCAACAACGACCATTAGCCAATAAACGTGATGACGGCAGCGATAGTGCACATCCCATCAGTCTATGCAATGTGAGCAAACAGACCGGACAGGTCATGTGCGGACGGACGTGCAGGATGCGACAACGGTTATGCAAGTTGGCACATATGATTCCGGTGAAAAGCAACTGTAGAAAATAAGGTCGAAGATACAAGCGGCAAGCAGAGATTAGCGACAGTGCGAACAAGCATGGCGCGTCGAAAAAGCATTGCATCGACTAAACAACATAGACGCAGAGAATTTGGTGCAGCGCACTCAAAATATCGCACTTCGTGATCAGGTTCGTTCTCGTTTGAGCACTGCAAGCAGAGATAACCGTAGCTGAGAATGGAATCAGGCACGCAATGGTCGAGCTCCGCAAGGAATCTCTAACAAACGGGTTTCGGGGCACCCACCGCTTAGGGATAAATGGCTGAGTCATGCTCTCGGTATACTCGCTAACCGGCTTCTTTGGCGCGCATTATACGGTGTTGCTGGAAGAAGTTGGACGAAACCGCGAGGTGGCTAGTCCATGAGGTGACATAAGGGCATGAAGCGGGGCCGCAGCCTAAAGGTAACAAGCTTGCATTTTAATCTGACGGCGCTGGTTCGAGGCCGCGTAGGGGCAGGGCGACCCTCGCAGTATCTTCAGCTCACGTGCAATTGGTGGTGGTTGCGCGGCAGCGAAGCGTCGGTACTGCGTACCGGAGTAACCGATCAAGTAACAAAGTGTAGAGCGTTCAATACGATATCTAATCATTTTCTGAAAATAGCCAAGGCTGGTGCCGACAAGTGAGTTTGGAAGGGTGTTCCAAGGTTGACAGATCCTGAGGAAGTAATTTCATCGATCATCTAGACTAGAAGTCACAAACCGAGCCGGATCCGGCTCGCGATGTCATTTCATCCGGCCCGCGAACGACACCTGATTTTGAACACCCAACTAACTAATGTGCCTATCCTAGTCCTGTGTTTACGGCCTTCGCACTAATGCACTTTCGATTAAGTCATTGCATGATCCCATTCTGTCTGAGCAAGTTCATACATTATCACCGCGGCATCACAGCTATGTTTGGCGCCTATCAGCTTCGACAATTTGAGCGATACCCTGAGTGTAGCCAATTGAACGACACCGCAATGCTCCACTTCGCACTGTAAGCTCGATTGCGTTTCACATTCTCTGATCCTGAACCCCTGTTTGACCCCATTAACTTGCTTGCGCGTTAGTGTGCATGTAACCCAAACAATCGTACCTTGTACGCGCATGCGCCGTGGCGTTCGTGCGGCTGTGCATGAAATTGATCCAGGCGACATAGGCAAGCTACAATGTGGCTTAGTAAACTGCAGGAAAGCCTCTTGTGAAGGTGAGCATGTCACGTCCTCATGATAATGTTCGAACCCATGAAGTCCATGAGAAGTGGAACCTCGTAAAGACAATGGGAGGATGCTACAGGCGCTACAACGCAGGTCAGAAATTCGCTTACCGTCGAGACGGCGAAGTGACCCTGAGAAATCAGAGGGGCGGAAAAGTTGTCGGTGTCTGTGTAGGACGTTCGGTTGCCACTCTCGGAACCGCAGTTGAAAAACAATGCCGCAAGCTGCTCATTTCAGCCGGCCGTATTCATATACATTTTGCAACGGTCCTTGTGTATATGTTGTATGCTATAAAAGTTGATATATGCTTTCCATGCATGTTTGGTGAGCCGCAACTTAACCAGCAGCCGCTAGTTCTCTGCTTCGCAGGCGTTCTAGTAGGGTGTTAATTACGTTTCCAATTCAGTATCTCTTACATTTTCAGCTCACGTGAATTGCATCGCTTTTTATGGCTACTAAGAGGAGGAAAGTGGACGCAGAATGTCGCGTTTTCAGTGACAAATGGGGAGCGAATTACTTCTTCGTAGAGACAAA